TATCCTCCGATCAGACTCCTCTTCAGAGGCATTCCCTTTATCCAGACCATTCCTTGTCATGCTCTGCTGGTTCCTCCATATTGGCTGGCTCGGATGTGGTTCCCTCTGCTCTGGTCCTTACTGGAGCAACAGCCCTCACTATTCCCTCTGTCCTGATTGCTACTCTGACAACCGTGATAGGACGTATTTCATTGCAACATCACCCAACTCCATCTTCTTCTGTGGCTTTTGTCTGGTCCCTTGCCTCAGCTCAGGGACTCACTCCTAATATAGCATTTTTCTTGCCCTTACCATTCACCCTTCCTCCTTGTCCATTTACCAGAAACATTGGTCTTACTTCACGCTTTGGTCTGTTCGCTATGGCTTCTGACCATCTTGTCCTTCTGTTTCTCACCTTTACCAATTTTTCAACTGGTTGTTTGATCAGGGTTTGTCTGTTTCAACTGTTGCTTGTTATAGGGCTGCCCTGTTGAACACCTTCCATTCTCCTGCTTATGGAAATCCTCCACTTCCCTGATTATTTCCCTCCTTTTGTCTGGTTCATCTGTCACATCCCTTTGTTCTGCTTGGGATCTCAATGTTGTCCTTCATGCCCTGTCTGGTTTTCCCTTTGAACCCATTGCAATATGTTCTTTGTACCATATTTCCCTTAAGACCTATTTCCTCCCCCTCCTGGCATGCAGTTGTCATCGTTCCGATATTTATGGCATTAATGTTTCTCACATCCTTTACTATTACTCGTATGTTATCCTCTATCCAGATCGGGCCTTCCTCCTCAGGACGTTGTCTGCTTGGGAAGGATGTTTAGCCTTTTTTCCTATTTCCTTACATTCCATTTCCCACCTATACTCCCTTTCAGATCCAGATTGACTACTTTCTCCAGTTCATTCCCTGCTATGTTACATGACTCATACTGACTCCTTTCATGGTTCTTGTTCCTGTCTATTTGTTCTATGGAATTCCTCTGATCTATTACGCTCACTGGCTGGGTTCATCAACTCGTATGACTGGCATATTCTGACGTGACCATGGAAGGTTGCCCTCTACTTATTGTTTTCTTGCACCAAATTTTTCACCTAAATATGTCTTTAGCTGCTCATCCATTAGAGGAGATTGTTCACATTGTATGTGGACAAATCCAAATAAATTTGTCTCATATTATCTGCACAACCTAGCTGTATCTTCCTCGGACAGGTATCGTCTTCCTTCTGTATTATTCCTGCAGACTCCCCAACACATATCCCCCCCTCCCCTTCTTCTAGTGGAGCACAGGAGTCCTTATCACTTCTGGTTCCCAGTTGCTGGAATGGTGGACCATGGAGGTTTCCTCCCGAGTGGAATTTGTACAATAAACTAAATCAAACTTCATAGCTCATATATACCCATTGGGTGAGAAAATGGCTGTCGTTGTTATACTTATTGATTATGCAATAACATAGTTTATACCAATCTATGTATCTTTATGAGGATTTTAATCATCTTAAAAGAATTATCTAAGTAGTATATGAATGTTGCATAACCTTTACTATTTTAGGTGAATCATTATATGTGCTAACTAACTAGTTGTTGAGTGAATTTTGATTTTAGGCTATGTGATAGTTAAGTCAGAAATTTGGTGATCATAAGCATTGTAAAACAAAATATCACATACAAATTTATAATACATTTATTTGTTTTATAAAATTATTTCTAAGTAATATATAGTAACAGTTTTTTTACACTTATCATACTTTAAGCTAACAGATCAGTTTTGTTTTGAAGCTTTGATATAATAACACTAGAAGATAAAAATAGCTTCTCAACAAGTAAAATGTTAATAAATAGCTGGAATGTAGTTCCTTTAGTATCTTGCATAATGATGATTCATCAATAAAGATTCTTGAAAAATTATTAACTGAAGAGACATACTACATTTTTTCTCTTAAAAATTAACTAGAGTTTGTGAAATATATATCAAATTGTACAAAAATACCAGAGTTTTGAAACTAACAAAACTAAATGCATTAAACTAGAAAATTTCTCCTTTAACAATATCCAGCTGCTCAACAAGAGGGATTCTCTCAGTGCTTTCAATGTGTCCCAATAGCTCTGGATGCAAGTTGCGACGAACATAGCTGAAAAAGATTAATAGCACTGTTTACTTTGGACTGTTCAAAATGAAAAATGAGAAAACCAAAATAAAACATTTTGCTTCTCAGTGTAGTCAAATATCGGAAGTGTCGTTTGTTTTATTACAATATTCATAAATCATACAATAAAGAATGGACAACTTAAAATAATGTAAATTATTATGATTAATTTATGTTAACCTTAAAAAAGCTATTTCAATATTAATACAGAGAAACTAGCCTAAGGTCCAAACTGTTTTAAAAATACTAAAAAATGTATTGTAAATTTCATCATTTATATTCATAACTTCAATAGTATGAGCTTTTTAATCTATTTGAACATGTTGAAAAAAGTTTGCCATTCTTCTGCAATACCTATGCTCTTATCTCCAAAATGTCCTAAGCAAGTTACCAAATCAGAGAAGAGGTGTAAAGTCCACTAATAAAATGTTAGTTATTATACTGTTAGCAAAATATACATTAAATAATTACTAGGAAAGAAAAAGCAATCAATTATGAGATATTTAAGTGAGATATGAGATCTTACGACAAAAACACCCAAATGTTACAAAGAACATAATATCTAATTATAAACTGTTAGGTTAAACATCTAAGGTAATTGCACCTTTTTCACCCCTCCAGATGAAACTGTGATATTAAGAAAAATAACCATCTTATTAACAGATAGACATCAAAAGGTATCAAATTCCACAACAGATTATTACAAATGATAAAAAAAAAGAACTTAACTATAAGATATTTGGGGAAAAGAACATATCATAGTGAACATAAAGAAGATAGTGTTTGAAAGGAAGAAACAATTAGAAATGGTATATTTATGTCACGTTTCACTTAACTGTTGCACACATAATGCTATAACAAAGATATGCCATCCAGAAATCAATAACAGGAATAAGAAGACATCTAACTGCAAGTTATTAGGAATGGGGTAAGTGACACTGTTGTATCACGATGGTGTTTTTTTTTCTTTTAAACAAAAAAAATAGTGCTTTGTGCTCTCTTGGGCTTGATAATCACTGTATAAAGAACAATAGTGTGGTTTTTATTATGAAACTTAAGTCTAGTGGTTTGGTAGTTCAAGTAAAATATAAAGAAAGTATACTTTCTGAACTTACAGAAATACAAGAAGTGTTATACTTGTTAAAAAAACTAAAAACAAAAATATCTGTTCAGGATAATCTGGTAAGGAAGCTTGAAAAATCCCTTTAGAGATGATGGTGGATACAGTGGGTAGCAGAAGTTCTAGAGCCCAAAAACTCCCAAATAAGCTTCCTAAAAAATAATAGAAATCAACTTTTATTTTTTGTGCAGAAAGAAATACAATTTTGTTAATTCACAAGGAATTAGTTAAAAGTAATATACACAAATTACAATTTCCAATAACACATTATTATTCAAATTTACACATTGAAAATGTATATTTTTCAACTTCATATTTTTCACCTCCCAGCTATTTATTTTACTTGGTAACAAAACTTTTTGAATTAAGAAAATTCTATATATTTAACTTTTACAAAAATTGAGAAGAAATTTAGAAAATTTCTACAAATTTAAAACAAAATGTTATAATACAATAAAAAAAAGCATAAATACATAAAAGTAAATTCTTACCATATTCTCTGGTATCAGCTAGTTTTGACAACAATGACAAAGTTGCAGTTGGAACCAACAGAGCAAGAGATCGTGCAAAAAAAGCTTCAAAATACAGAAGAGTACACATTTTAAATAAGATAAGTTGTCACAAAAGAATCATTTCCATGCAGTTATCCCAAAAATATTTTTTTACTTTTTATGTTTTCAGGTAATTTTTGATTATGCAAGATTATACATGCCTCTCATTTTAAAGATTACAGATTATGACTATTATTTGTAAAATTATAGATCATTGACAAAATAACAATTTTAGACTAATGTTTAGCAGGAAAATGTTTATGTAAAAACAATCTTCAGCCAAAGTTCTTGCATGTAGCTTTGCATAAAAACTGTAATTACATTTCAATTAAATAGCTACAATACATAACATGATATTTATATATATTCCTTCAAAACTATATTTGCTTCCAGAAAAACTATTAGCATGACTCCTTTTTAAAACCCATACAGTCAAAAAGAATGAACTCAGGGAATTTGGTGGGCTAAAGAGAATGTTATGGTCTCTAGTATTCAAGCTAGAGCAAAAAAAAAGTAGTCCAATAAAGGGGATGATCTAAACAAAACACACTTTACTGGCAAAAAAATTAATCTATCAATAATGTTTGGCCTCAAAATGCAGAGTTTATGGAGTTGGTTAGACTGTGTTATTCTTTCATAAAGTAGAAGAGTTCATGCTGGCATACCAAGATTGGTCTCGTCAAAAGTACAAGTTCCTGATTGTCTGAAACAGAGAAAAAACCACTGACTGGTCTATATTCCCTCACATGCTATGCTGGTGAAGCTGCCCTGGTGCTACTGCCACTGCTGCCTCTATTACTACTAGTACTGCCCCTTCTACTGCTGTAATTTATACTGTTCTGCTACATCTACTGTTGCTACTATTGTAGCCATCTATTCCTTCAACACCAGACTAGCTGCTGCAACTGACTTGGCAAGTACTTCATTCCAATGACAACTGGACATGCCACAGTACTACTTTTGTACACATTGGTTGTGTATGCATTGTTGTGAAAGGGAACTATGAAACACTGTAATATCAAAATATTTTGTATCTCAAAGTAAAAGTTTCTCATCAAATAAGGATATAATGTAATAAAAATACAGTTAAGACTCTCCACGGCTATGTTTATCTGCCATTCCTTTTACAAAATAGAGTGTAACCAAATGAGAAACAGGATTTGCTCTTCGGTACAAAATTACGGCTAATAATTCCCTACAGTCGCGTTTTCTTGCAACATAGTGATGCTAAACCCCACACTGTTCATTTTCTAATAAATGCAATTGACAAGTTTGGATCAACGGTCTTTTGACATCCTGCATAGTCCTGATCTAGTATTTTGTGTCTTTCATCTTTCTGGACCTCTCAGGGATAGTCTATATGGACAAATATCCCAGGAATTCAACAAAACAGTTTTATGCAACAAGAACAGTAACTCCATACCTGATGTTTACTGAACTGCTATAGCAAAGCTTGCAGAACAATAGAGGAACTACACCATGTCATGTTGAGAAATGTTGTTTGGAAGGCCACATCTTCAACATCACTAGTGTATATTTGTAGTTTATAATCCAAATTGGTTGACCTACAATAAATAATATCCCATCTCTTTCAAAAATCCCCATCCTATTGTTATCTTGTGTTTCTGATTACCATTACTGCTTGGTATATACCATGTCTGAGGAAAAAAAACACCGTGTACAGACTGGAGCTGGGCAATTAATTTGATTAGTCAACATAATTGATTATCTATGAGCAGTGACTACATCAATTAATGTCATGTAAAATAATGAAATAATGCTTCCAATAATAATTTTTTTATTATTCCAACTATCCAGTAATTAAAATTACAATTAATATGAAAATGATAAACTAATTGAAATTAGTTTCCTGTTACTATTGTTTTTGATTATTCCAGCTATCCAGTAACTGAAATATTGCCATTATGATTTTTCATTGTTATTTTCATTTAATTCAAGTTTGTTCTGCTTAATCAATTAGTGCCATAACTCACAAAAATATTCAACTAATTAAAATTAGGATTTCCAGTTATTACTACTTTTGACTATTCCAACTACCCAAATAATTGAAATACTTTATTATATTTGTTTGTAGTTAAGCACAACTATAAAATGGGCTATCTGTGTTCTGCCCACCACATGTATTAAAACCCAATTTGTATCATTATAAATGTTTTTGTTTTAAGTCATTTTGTCATAATAATTGATCAGTTGAATGCAACTGATTAATAATCACATACTATTAATCTGTTAGCATATTCCACTGATTGCCCAGCTCTAACACAATCACCTGTATAAGTTAAAAGTAGCCAATATGAAACAAGCAATTATAGCATAATCACATACTCTAGAAGTTATTTTTACTATAGTAGATACAACATATTAGGGTGATGTGTGTATTAAATTTGTAAAAAAGATGTTTGTCAAATTTATAACTATCTGCTCTAAAAGATTTGAAAAGTATTTACTGCTGAATAAAAATATTGTGAGACATTAATACAAAGCAAAATATAATATTTCAGACAGAGCTCTCCAACCAGTGACCCCTAGGTAGCATCCAACCAATGGCCAGGTTTCATCTGGGCTCCAAAAATTGGAAGGATCCCTTAGTTAAACTTTAAGGTTTCAAACAAATATAAAAAAAACAACACTTATTTCACATTTTAATCTAAATACATGGTGGAAAGATATTACATTTCAGCATTGAAAATGAATTATACAATCTAAGATTTTTGAAAATGCATTTAAAGAAAAATTGCAAAACAAGTATCCTGATTGCAGTGGTAGGTATTGTGCAAAATTGATATGAATAAAAACTAACAATGGAAATATTTTTGCTTTATGGTTTTGATACTGAAATGCTTTTAAGTATGGAACATACATAAAGTTGAAAAATAACTACAGTACCATCTAACACATTACAAGGAATATAAATGAAAATAGCTCATATAAAAGAAAATAATGTTCAAACTTTCTCTAAAATATTATTAAAAATAACATGTATGTAACAAACAAAACAGTGTTTAAAAATGTTCAGGCATAACAGTTCACTAACACAATGAAGCAAAATAAAGTAATTACCTAAGATTGCAAGAATGAGACTGGGACTCAAAGCCTGTAGAAGTGAGGATAATGTTATTCCAAATGAACCAACTATACCTAAAGATGCATCTTCAAAATAGAAACTTCTAGCTGTGGCCACAATCAAAACAACTACAATAGCCTGCAGTAGAGCATTTACACTTTCAAACACCATGGAAGTCTCCTCTGTCCATGAAAAGTTAGTACTATAATACTTTGACATCATAGCCATCTCTCCTAGATAGTAAAAATTTGTGATAAGAAAATATATTTTGATCTAAAAATTCACACTGGAAAAACAAAAACTAAGAACAAAATATAATTAAAATATGAAATTTAACTAAACTCCCCTCCTCCTATGTACTAAGCTTTGTCAACTTTTATTTTTACTAATATTTTAGAAATGTTCTTGAAAGTAAGCTATATTTCAAATAAGTTGCACAATATACCTTAAAAATACCCCAGTTTAAGTGTAAGCCTTTATTATGCTCAAGGGTAGTAACAAAGAAAACATTTTGGCATTTGTCTACAATGATTAGAATTACAGGTTGATTAATAAGAAAGTTTTGTAATTCAGCACACCATATCTCACAAATGGTATGACATAGAAAAGTGCAATTGCATAATGGTGTCAAGAATATCGTACGAATGCAATGCTACAGTTGTGAGATGTTGCCACCAGGGACACCACTGTGGTTTCTTTAGCATATTTCCCATTGGTATAAATTAGCTTGTCAAACGTAATGAAACTCATCCATCCAACATGGAACTGACAAGTGTGTAGCGAGGAGAACTAGTGAAATATTATTACACCAAAGGATGCAATGCTCTCAGGGAATACTGTAAAGTGCATAACATCTGTAAAGGGTCTTGGTTTCTGAAAGTTTCAACGTGCACAACTGCCTTACCTTGTCAGAAACTAATCTACATGTAACATTTCCTACACACATCCATGATGATAAGGTGACAATGCTGTGAAGACTTTACTTATGTTGAAATTACAGTGTTGTAAAAACTTTGTTAATAGATCATAATATTTTGAAAAAACATCAGCACATGGACAGAAAATCCACAAAGTCGATTCTGCATGCCATGTAATGATCACAACCAATGTGACCCCCATACTGCAACAACAAAATGTGATAGATACTATGTACCTCTGGATATTGATAACCAGCTGAAACATGTTTTGCAGGAGTATTTTCAGGAAAGAATCATTTCAAGTTACTTTCCTTGTGAATTGTCATCTTGTTCACCAGACCTAACACCAGCCAACTGCTGGTTATAGGAGAGATTTCTGAAGCCACACATGTACCATGGGAAGTCTTAAACAACTACAGACTTCAAACATTCAACTGTCCAGAAAGCAGCCAACATACCAAATGACATGTATTATTTTGTTGTTTTAATGTCTACTGTCACATGGATACTAGAGGAGCACATTTTAAACAGCTTGTGATTTATCAAACATTAGGTCACAGTGGAGCCCCTTGTGGCAACAAGTGAGAATTGTGGCATTTGAATCCACATGAAACTTTCTTTATAATCACTTCTTATATTATTTTAAAAACATACTACATCTGCCATATCCTGTGCTAACATGCCTAAGAAATAGTTATTATCACATTCAGTTTCTTTCAAAATGAAAAGTATGTTAATTTTCTTAAAAGCTATTGAGGCAACATTAAGAGAAAGTTTTTTTTGTTTTATATAAAATATTATATTCCTATGATGTATATTTTTGCAATAGTCTGCTAAATTTCACCTGAGCATGAAAACAAATAAAAAATTACATTATATTTTAGGTTTCAATATAATAAAGCTTTCTAATCATCATATACATTCACAGTGAGCATATTTATAATACTGTAATTGGCACATCACCAGATGTTCTAAAACTTAAACAATGTAAGTTACTAAACCACTGGATCATTTCCCCACTCACAGTTGATGCAATAATATACAAAAACAATTTATACACATTCATTTTTATCAACAAAATTTCCAATTTTTTTCACAAAATAACCAAGCAATTTTCGTGCTTTTGGTATATATACAAATAATTCCATCTGTACACTAAACAAACATTCACTACATGTCAACACAATCTTAGCAGAAACACATTAAACTGTCTCGTAACAGATACAACCAGTGATCATAAATATTTTGCTAGCATTTTAATTATGTATAGTTTCTATCATTTGGAGAAAAACTAACAGCTTAAGCAATCCATGTTTGCCAACCCTATTGCATACTGATTTTAAGACTTTATTTTCACTACTTACCATTTTTAATCACTGAAACTACCACATTTCAAAATATAGATTGAAAAGAAAGCTTCCTCATTTTTCTGATCAAACTATCAAAATTTTGGATGTCCCTTATATTTCTGGTCATACTTGCAAGTGTCACCAAGTTTATAAGTTGTTTTTTTTTCCATATTGCAGGAAGATGCATATATAGTAGTTTCTTTTTCAAGTTTTTTTCTATACTTGGTGCATTGCCTTTGGCACACACCTGTTTGCCATCTTTTTCAGTTTTAAAATATTGGCAACTATGAACAATGGTAAAACCAAACAACAATCTTGAGTATCAGTCTTCAAAAGTTAGTTTTCAGAAGGTAATTACAAAACTATTTCATCATAAACAAGAAAAAAAACAATTATAGGTAGACATATCAATTATTTGAAGATGTAGAAAATAGACTTACATGTCAGATTTAATGTCAAACAAATAAAGGAACACGAGTCAATTCAAAAAACTCAAAGCGTACCAATTTATTAAGTCAACAGCACCTGCTCAATTAAAACAAACCTACTTTAAAAAAAGCTTCTAAATCTAATAGAATGACTTTCTGAAGTTAATTTTTCTTGATATTTATACAGATTACTTATTTTTAAAAAGTTACAATTTCAACTGGACCTTCTGACATGCTTACTATGTATGTTACATGACACTTAGACTATGTTGTAAATTTCTAAACAACAGGATTTTCTGGGACACTTTCACACATTGTTAAAACCTGCTAATAAAGATATTGGTTCATATTCTGGAATCATCCCCCAAAAATTAGATTTAATTAGTGTTTATAACTTTATTAATTCATTACATTAAACAGAGACACCTTGTGACTATGCCTGTCTCAACTTATGTAAAATGGTTTAAAAAAACATGAGGAAATGCTTTTGCTATAAAGCATTAATATTTAAAATTTGAAGCATAGTTATTGAATTCTGAACAAATATTCTCAAAATACGGCTAACCTTTATACATACCATAAAAAGCTATACGTCCAATGATGAATGCAAACAAGAGAATCAAAATGAAAAATCTGAAGTTATGGGTCCTTTTCTTAAAGACGGCATTTAGGCAACCAGCCAGATTGCTGGGGGCAATGATTCCTCTCCAACAACTTCCATCAAAATCCCCTAGCTGTTGCACAGTCTCATCCATAAAAAGTACCACCAAGATAATTAATGTGACATGAATACAAATGGACAAAGTAAAAACAGAAGTACAGACAATCTTGAACAAATGAAGAGGGATCAGAGATCTCCAGTGGCATCCTATTAAGGTTCCTACAGCAATTCCTAGTGTACAACTGCCAATTAACATCCCAAAATGATACGTTCTAGAACGATGGTCAGTGGTGTCTGAGACGCGACAAAATGCTGCTATAACAAAAAGAATGTAGCTCCCAGTAAAACCACTTGGAACAGCTGCAATAAGAACCCAACTTGGTTCCATATCTATCACATTAGTAGCAATAATAAGTCCAAGATCCCGAAGGATGGAACCACTAAAAGGAACAAGAAAGCAAGGTTTTCTCCCATGTTTGTCACTCCATGATGCAAAATATAAACAAGGAACAAGAGCTATTGCCATTTCAGTTATTCTAAAATACAATGTAAGTGTATCTGCATCTGTTCTATTTAATGAATAGTTGCTGCTTTCATTAAAAGCAGTTTCTAAACAAGATGTTTTGGTTTCTTTTTCACATAGTTTATATGAAAATAGGAGATTTACAAGTGAATAGATGGAAGTATGAATGGCAAAAAGGCCACCTATCACAGGATTCATTGGTAAGTGAGAACGATGTAAGCTTCTCAACTTCATTGGTTTTCTTATTCTGAAAACAACAAAAATAAATAAAATGTAGGAATACATCCATATGATAAATAGATACTAAATGTTAATGAAAAGTTCATTTTAAAACAAACTGAAAATTTCATTTTTCTATGTTATTGTAAATAAATAATAGAATAATTCACAACTTATTTTTTAAAATCAACATAGAAAATATGACATTAAGAAAAAATGAATTTTAACACCTTAAAGTTCCTAAAAATTTAATTTGAATTGTGCTAACAGAGAAATAATGCACCACTAGTTCTCACTGTAAAATAAACATTGCATTGTTTAAAAACCTCAAAATATTTTCAGTTTTTGCTATGGTATTAAATACAAAATGGTTATGATTGAATAATTTTTTTCAATTAGTATTTCTAAATGTAAACTAATGAATGAACCATGGGAAAAACAATTTATACTAAACATTTTAATACTAAAAATTAAGTTATCTGCATTAACTATCAATAACTACTATAACAGTCTTGGTGATGAGATACACTCCCAATTTGTAATTATATCATCATGTGGAAGATGAGTAGACCAAGATATGCACGCAGCTGAATAGTCATAAATTTTAAACTAACATAAAATAATGTAATGTATTAAAGATTCAAAATACATTGAAGTTCTTGAACAGTATAATGATAATATATTAATTAACTCCTACACATAAGGTGCTAAAAACTAATAATTTACTATAGTACACTTACAAAAGCAAGACGAATTTGAAGAGAGAAGTTGAAAGCTTGTTCAATAAACACTGATTGTGGTGAAAAAAAAAACGACCAGGTTACAATTTCTATCATTAATTTAATGACACTGTGATTTACAACAGAAGATTTAACAAGGTTCGAGAAAGACATCTCCCCAGTATTTTCTAACAAAATCTTGGTTTTGTAGTCATCTCTTAGGAAAGAAATTAATCAAATCACCTAAGTGTCCACTGTCTAAAACTTGGTTAACTTGTTGATTATTGTATGGAAATGAGGAATGCCATAGTCAGTTGAATAGTCACAGTGGTGTTTCTAGGATTATTTGGGAGGCAGAAGAAATTAATACTTTCATGTCAGCGGGAATCACACTGTAGAAAATTTAAAATCTTAAAAGACTATATCTTAGATAGGTGCTGTTTGCGAGAAGAGCTCTCCAATGAGATGTCTGCACCCTACTCAACTGTGGTGTACACACACTTGAACAGCTACACAAAAAGATGAAAACAGGAACAGGGTAAATTTAGACAAGTATACTTGCTACCAAAAAGTACAACATACAAGTAAGTGTTGGAGAATTATATTTGAAAATTTAAAAGGTTAAATGGACCAATCATAAAACACTTGAAATATCATTGGTGAATAACTACAGTAAGGGGCAGGGATATTTGTTTATAGATAGGTTTTTTCTTTGTTATTTTTCATATTAATGTGGATTCCTTGATTTTCTTTTGCAATTGTTTTCATTAAAAAATTACATGAAATGAATCAGAAGTGTCGTTACCAATCTTCTTTTATGTTGAAAAATGCGAGAAGGTGGAAGACTATGCTCGTTTATCCTGGTATTGAGTTTTCTCTGTTTCACCTATGTACCTTGCTGTATAGTTCTGGTATTTGTATTCATAAATAACATTACTTTAGACGGATCCCCTAGAATATATTTGATAGAATTCTGCCTTTACATTCATATTGCATATTTTACACAAACGAAACATTATTCTTTTTAGAGCACCGGAAAAACCAGGAATTTAGAGTAAATAATAGGTAACAGTGTCTTTGCTTCCGTTGAAATTAACTGGAACATAATTGTTACGTATCTGCTTGTTTGTTAATTTCCAATAGAAATTCTTTCCGAGAAACTTCAGCGATAAAAGTCCTTTCTTAATTAAAACTAGTTTATTCTTTCTCGATACAACTTTGTAATACACAGAATTTCCACAGTCAATACGTTTGCAATCTCGAGAACAAAACACACACTTTAATATTACCGTCACTACCGTTCGCTTGACTCAATTATCTGTCTCTATATCTATCTATCTGCAATCATTTCGACGCTTTATTTGCCGGGCTTATATACTGTTACGTCTCCGTTTGTTAATTGATTTTTCCGTAACTTCGTTCCGACGAAATTTTAAAGACACAAGTCTTTACTTAATAAAACTGGTTTATTCTTTCCGAATATAACTTTA